ATCGAATGCGATATTCGCCGTGGCCAACGCGCAAAGGACCATAAATCTTTCGCAGAATTTTCTCTCGAAAACTCGCAACGTCGACTTGTTTTAAATTATCAATTGTTATTATAAATGATGTAACAGAGCTATTTTATGCTTTTATTTGTAAAATAACGTCAGTTTTGTTGGAGCTGTGAGTAATTATACATTTTACATATTAGTGGCATCACCACTCTACCTCATCTCTCTATCTTCCATTCTACTGTCAACTCTATTGTCGTCCTACTGTCGTTGGCAAATATAGGATCGAATTGAAGTTAGCTGTCAAACTAGGTCCGTCCATAAGAACATGTGTATTTTAATATTTGACAGATGTCGTTTGCAGTCTGTCGCGAGCATTGTATTCCGCGCAAGAGTTTCGGTAGCCCTGATTTCCTGGGTTGCTTTTTCTATTGTTAACCTATTTTAAAATGTATTATGGTCACACTGGCACTGCTTGTACAATATGTCATATGTATGACGATATTGCCATATGTAAACAGTATAGGTCGAAAAATTATTTTATGTTCAATAACACAATTGGTAAAGTAAAGAAGGAAAAACGAGAGAAGGTAGTAAGTTATTTTTCAATATTTTGAACTATTATATCTAATGCGTATGATATAAACACATCAGTGATTTAGTGTGTATTGGCTGGTAAGATTTATTTGGGTGGTGGTTAGTATTATTATTATCTTTTGTAAAATTTGAGAGGGTTGTTTGCATGCCATGAGTGTGTTGTTATTTGTGTAAACCCATAGCTATATATAATTTAATGTACACTTAGTAGGGGCCTATTTGCTGCAGCAGCACCTTGCATCACGTGCACAGTATATTACAAAACTTTTTTTTATGTTTAGAAGCTAATGAACGTTTCTTTATTTCACACTAGAAGCATTTAGATTAGATTATCATAACCAGAGTCAAAGTAAAATGTGTGAAAATTTAATAATGCGAGGAATAATTAAATGGTTACAGAATGGAAACTTCGTAAGCCTAAAAGTGAAATGTGTTTTAGTGTACGCAAAATATTACAAATAGTTCATAATATACAACGTGTGTAATTTGTTTGCAAATTGAGTGCTATTCATAGTGCATAAAAATGTGAATATGTAATGCATATATTTGTATATATATTAATGCAAACAGACTACGTTCAATAACATATGCGTATGGATGCCTTAAGACCGTTAAGCGAGAAAATTAAACTACACGATTAGTTTATTCTAAAAATATGCAGTATGAAATATGCACACATTTAGGGACAATATAAATTGTTAGCATGAAACTCGGCAATGGAGCAACGGGCGACCTTGTGTCATTGCATATAATAACCGGGTAGGCGCACGAATAGTTTATTTTATTCTTTGTATCTAAAACGTGAATATTGTGTTTATAAATGATAATCTTGGCTATCAAAACTTCAACTGAAGCCACAACTGAAGTGAATCGTTATTTAAATAATTATAAAAAGGTATTTGTATGAATAGAATTGCTTTGTAGTAACGTTTGTGTTCTATTTTCAATGTCAGCGAAATGGTTTCGTCTCGCATATACAGTTAGCATCAAAAGAAAGTCTACAGCATTTGTTTATTACATTGCTTGTTTTATTTCAGGCTTTTTTAGGTGATACAATGTAACAATTTATATTTTCTAAAATGGTATTTCGTACTCTTAAAATTGATGGGAAAATAAAGCAAAATTCGCCAAACAACAAAAGTTACGGCTGGGATTTAGAATAGCATCCCCGGATTTCGGAGATAAAATGGGTATCACTGGAAAGGTGACGTTCTCCAGATCACAAAAATATATATATATATATATATATATATATATATAGTTGCCGCTGACTTATAGTTTTAACGATATTTGCATTTAAAGTTAAAAAATTGACAACTTTTAAATTGATAATTTGTATATTGTGAATAAATGAATGGGGAGGATGGGGTCATGTGTAGAAGTTCACGCAAGTGAGGAAAGTTCTCTGATCGCCATTCACTTGGGAGTGGCCAGAAACAATACTTTTACATATGACTCAAGCAGCTCACGACCGTCCGATACGTAAAAACAAACACCCCTAATGAAGAATTTTCAATAGCCTCGGATGATGACGACCATGGCAAACGAATTAAGGACTATGATTTGAGGTCATGAACATGGAATGACCGGTCCCTTAATTGGGAAGGTGCCGCTGCCCAGCTGGTTGATGTCCTCGTGAAAATAAAGGCTAACATCACCGCCGTCTAAGAAATGCGATGGACGGGACAAGGACAGAGACGAGTAGGTCCTTGTGGCATTTACTACAGTGGCCATATAAAGGAGCGCAAGTTTGTTGTGGGATTTGTGGTGGGAGAGAGACTCCGTCGCCGAGTAATATCATTCGGTGAATGAACGTCTAGCCACAATCCGTATCAAAGCGAGGTTCTTCAACATATCGCTGATTTGCGCCCACGCCCCGACGGAAGAGAAGGACGATGTGACCAAAGATGCCTTTATGACTGCTTGGAACGCACTTATGAGAGCTGCCCCCGCCACGATGTCCAAATCGTGCTTGGCGACTTGAACGCCAGGGTGGGCAAAGAAGGTCTTTGGCACTACAGTCGATAAATTCAGCCTCCACGAGGAAACATCCACAAATTGATTGAGGCTGATCGACTTCGCCGGGGCCCGAAATATGGTTATCTGTAGCACTAGATTCCAGCATAAGAAGATACATCAAGCTACCTGGCGGTCTCCGGATCGAAAAACCACCAACTAGATCGATCACGTTGTGATAGACGGAAGACACGTCTCCAGTATTTTAGATGTACGTGCGCTCCGAGGTCCTAACATCGACTCCGACCACTACGTTGTTGCAGCCCAGATTCGCACCCGCCTCTGTGCAGCAAAAAACGCACGCCATCAAACACAATTAACGTTCGACGTCGAGAAGCTGCAATCACAACAGACAGCCGAACTGCTGCAACCGAAACCATTGGTTTTTCGGAAAGTGCAAAAGAACAGCTGGTACGACGAGGAGTGCCGTGTCGCAGCGGAGAGAAAACAGGCTGCCTACCTCGCAACGTTACGATCGACNGACGAGGAGTGCCGTGTCGCAGCGGAGAGAAAACAGGCTGCCTACCTCGCAACGTTACGATCGACCACAACACGTGCGGGATGGGATAGATACCAGGAGTGGAAGGGGAAGCGAGAGGCATTTGCAGACAGGAAAAGAATGAAGCCGAAATGCTTGAGTACGAAGAGCTTGATAAGCTGGCCGACAGGGGTTATGCTTGAAAATTTTACGAAAAAATGCGGCGGCTTATCGAAGGCTTCAAGACCGGAGCATACTCTTGTAGAACCCCCAAAGGTGATCTAGTCACCGATGCCCAGAGCATACTTACATAATGGAGGGAACACTTCTCCAGCCGCTGAATGACAGTGAACGCACAATGCCAGTAGAAGGCGAACCCGATTCCCCAATCGATGACGATGGAGCAGACGCTCCATTGCCCGACCAKGAAGAAGTTCGAATAGCAATTACGCGCCTGAAGAACAACAAAGCGGCGAAGGCCGATGGATTGCCGGTCGAGCTATTCAGACACGGCGGGGAAGAACATGCATGCATCAGCTTCTTTGTAAAATATGGTCGGACGAAAGCATGCCCAACGATTGGAATTTAAGTGTGCTATCCCCAATCCTCAAAAAAGGAGACCCCACAATCTGCGCCAAGTACCGTAAAGTTCTATCGAGCGTATTGTGTGAAAGATTAAAGCCCACCGTCAACAAACTGATTGGACCTTATCAGTGTGGCTTCAGACCTGGAAAAGCAACAACCGACCAGATATTCACCATGCGCCAAATCTTAGAAAAGACCCGTGAAAGGAGAATCGACACTCACCACCTATTCGTCGATTTCAGAGCTGCTTTCGACAGCACGAAAAGGAGCTGCCTTTATGCCGCGATGTCTGAATTTGGTATCCCCGCAAAACTAATACGGCTATGTAAAGTAACGTTGAGCAACACCAGAAGCTCCGTCAGAATCGGAAAGGGCCTCTCCGAGCCGTTCGATACCAAATGAGGTTTCAGACAAGGTGACTCCCTATCGTGCGATTTCTTCAACCTGCTTCTGGAAAAAATAAGTAGAGCTGCAGAACTAAATAGAGAAGGTACAATCTTCTAAAGAGTGTACAGCTGCTGGCGTATGCCCATGATATTGATATCATCTCTTTCAACAGGTGCTACTTTGGACTGAGTAGGCAATTGAGAAGCAAAGTCCTCTCTTGACAAACAAAAACCAAACTTTATAAGTCACTCATAATTTCCGTCCTGCTATATGGTGCAGAGGTTTGGACGATGTCAACAACGCATGAGTCGATGTTGCGAGTTTTCGGGAGAAAAGTTCTGCGAAAGATTTATGGTGCTTTGCGCGTTGGGCACGGCGAATATAGCATTCGATGGAACGATGAGCTGTACGAGATATAAGACGCCATTGACATAGTTCAGCGAATTAAAAGACAGCGGCTACGCTGGCTAGGTCATGTTGTCCGAATGGACGAAAACACTCCAGCTCTGAAAGTATTC